ACTTGCAAGTGCTGAGGGTGAAAGTAGATCAATGTGATGGAGTTTCGCCTTTTAACTTTTCAACACTGCTTTTTAAATCACTTCCGTACGAAAAGAGATCTGAATTTTAAGAACACGGCTAAAAAATGATCATTATTCGTCAAGAAAAATGCAATTTCTGAGCTTCGGCTCGGCTCCGCAATTGTTATGTGTGTATACCAGTTCCATAATTTCATGTGAAAAATTCAAGGGGATTTCCCAAGTGTTCGATAAAGCCAATAATTCTATATATCAGAGTTCGATATATCCAGGCTTGACTTTATAGAGAAAAAAAATGTGACAAGCCACAGGTCGCAACATGCTCAGCTAATGGAATTTTAACAATGCCCAATTACAATAACATTCGTGTACATTCAAAGAAAAGACAGCGCGGCAATGGTATCACCATTCAACATTGCTTGTAAAGATAAATACAATTACTGGATAAATCAAAGGGCAGTTCACAAACAAGAATGAGCTCGGTTAGTAACGTTGGACCGGCGAACAGTTTCCTTTACAATGGTAATAAGCACAAACACTATACAAAAGAAAGGCAAAAGGACACCTTTTCTTCCCCTTGCTCATCTTTTGTATAGTGTTTGTGCTCATTAGCATATAAATGACACGTTCCAACTCGTCAAATTAGCAATGCTGCTGCAATTCTTCTAACATCTTTGATATGCAAGTTGTAAGATGAATGTTTCTTCTCCTTGACCAACTGTCAGCAAAAATCATGTTCTTGTATTCAGCAGGCTCATCAGTAAGCATGATAAAATCTTACTGGGTGGAGAAGAGCCAGGAGAACAAGCCCTTCACCTATGATGAGATGGGATGATAATCAAAAGGTGGGAAGGGCACGAGGAAGGTTAGTTCCAAAAGCTACACAAGAATCAGTATTTCTATGATGCTAAGAAAAAAACTAATTAATTGAATGGCTACTTCAAACTGCAAATAATAAATGACAGAACCTTCAACACAACCACCTATCACAAACTGTAGGAAGAGTGAAATAACCAAAACCAGACTTGACAAAGGTTCTACCAAGAAAGTACATAGCTCCAACAGAGTAAAGGTTGCAAGAGTAAGAAAAATGAACAAAAATCCAGCCAACACCACAAGGTCCACTGCCTTACCAAGATTGTGGTTGGTGAGAAGGATTTCCATTGGATCAACTTTGGTCACAGTGATGCCCAGGGGATCAAGGGTCGCATAGAAGTGACCCCGGATCTGTAGACAGACGCGCAGAGAAAGAAAGCACAGCAGGGGCAACGGACAGGTTACGATACACAATGCCAGATTGACACAAGCAAGACTGCTTTCTCTGGTCTAGCTGACTGATTGACTGTGACTCATGGCACAGAAACACATATGAGAACCCAAATCGGAGAAATTTTTAATTTTTAAACTGAGGTATTTAATGTCCCAAAGCTACAATTAGGATATGGGAGATTCTAAAGCACATGGCTACTCACAAGTTTTAGCCAAACGAGCGTCTATCTAACAGTGTGATGAAAGTCTGCACATATGTGGTTTCTTGCACTTCACTCTTTCTAGAACGTACATAATGCAAATGGGGCAACCCATTGTGAAACCCATGACCTTGCACTCAGCATCAGAAGATAACAGATACTGAGGCAAACTACAGCGGTTACAACACCAACTTATCAGCATTGCTAATTGGGTGATTGGTTGATGCATAGTTGGCCAATATCCAAGTGGTCAAGGTGCTGAAGATAAGCAGATGAGACAATTTTTATAAAAGGGTAATTTGGTCATAAAAAGGTGAACAGCATTTTGGCCCTGCTTACTACCAATGCCAGAGATAGATTGGTTGGAAGCCATGATTGTAATGCACACGGTCGTGGCCAGTGGTGCAAAAGAAAAGATAGAAAGCAACCAAGGAGCCAGTTCCCACAAGAACAGAACGTCAGTAGTGCTCATGCATAAAGATAGTGATAATGAAATGTAAAACAGAACAGCAAACAAAACAACTTGACGGAAACACCCACATGCTTATAATAAGCAAACATATGATGTGACGGCAATTTACGGCAGATGCACATGAGAAATCCTTGTGTTCACAGAACTTCAACCCCCATCATTTCTTTTTGCACAATAACTGTGTGCGCAAGTCACAAATGCAGTGGTTAAACAGTTTATAGTGCCTTGCAGAGCAACCCTGAAACACAAATGGACAAAACTGTCAGAAAAACTACTTTTAAGCAGGTGAAAAGTAGTGAGTATTCAGGAAAACAATGAAAAGCTGAATTCCAGAGATGAAGAGACAGTGACATCAAATAACAGCAAACCCTCTTTAATTTGAAGTCTGTTGGGCTGCCAGAAATCTTCCAATTAAGCAGGTTTTCGAATGACCACAAGATACAAAAAGTGGGATGCAAGGAACATGCAATTATTCAAAGTAATCAGGGCTGATCATTTACTGTGCCGGCTAGTTTGCGGCTCTAAAGGTTATGTTTCCTCCTATACCTCGTCTTAGTTTTGCTGCAAACATAGAAGAACGGCAAGTCTCACTGCTGCCACCAAAAAAAAACGCAGGCGTGATCAAACTTAAATGTGTGCCTGCGGAAAATAAGACGTGCTTCACTGCAATACTGTAGTGACAAGCGGGCAGCACATTGCCTGTTCCTCGCTGCGTCAGCACGCCATGATGTGACCATTAGGCGATTCTTTCTGGTAAAATAATTTATTAATGGCCAGTGTGACGAAATTGGCGATATGTTATGGCTGAAAAGCATGACCATTCAAGTTTTCGAGCTTAGCTTTTGAAGCAGGTGTTGCAAGCAACAACTCTGCCAGCAGTGCAAGAGCCCAAATATCTGGACCAACCAGCATTCAGAGGTTCACATGCATTGCGGATTCCGCCAAATTGTCGTTTATTAAATTTCTTTACAATCCCAGAAGGTATGGGTAAATCATAACGCACTGACATAGTAAGAAATGTGCGATATGCTGCCCGTGCATCACTGCTATGTTGCAGTGAAACACGTCATGTTTCCCACAGGCACACGTTTCGGTGGGCTATGAGACCGTTTTTTTTAAGAGGCGAAGCTCCTTAAGACCTCAGGATGTCCACCGTCTCCCGTCTGTCCGTAATACGTCTTCATCTGCCTGACATTTCTGAACCATTTTCCATGTAACCTTCAACTTATAAGCCACAGAGGGCGTTGGTGGTAACCGTTTTGCATTTAACCTTCAACTTATAAGCAACAGAGGGCGCTGTGGTTAATTGTACATGTAATGGCGCTGCTGTCAACGCTATATATATATAACCACGTTCCATGCCACACATTCTCTTCTCTCATATGGACGAAGACAAACGCAGGAAAGCGCGACGCGCTGAGTATCAGCGTCGGCGGGAAGCTACCGCAGAGACAAAAGAGAAGGAAGTGGATGCAAAGCGGCGACGGCGACAACAATGTTCTACACCACAGACTAGGACTAAGGAAGCAAAGGCTAAGCGGTTAAAACGCCAAGCTGACGCGCAGTTGAGACAACTTGAAGCAGATCAAAGGCGGCAATACCGACAAGAAAATTCTACACCAGAGACGATAGCTAATGAAGCTGTGATTATGAAGTCAAAACGTAACCCGGAACTCGGAACCTCATATCAGCTATAAAGAAGAATCACCGCTATATCACAATCGGTCTCAGCACTATATATTTGAATAAAAAAATATATAAGTATCACAACGACAATCAGTCTCAGTACTTTCTCAACTTTAATCACAATAATCACCTCCGAAAGCTTCACCCCATAATTATCTTCAAGCAGCTTGAAATGCAGTGATTTTTTTTTTTTGCACTGGTAAAAGCAAGGCAGGAGTGCTTAAGCTGCCACTCATTAGTAACGCTACATTGCATTGCCTTGTGGCTCTTAAGAGGAGTTGTTCACGCTTATATGCAAAGAAATTGGGATCGGAAATCGGCAGATAGCACCAAAAGTTTTCGAATTATTCAGACTGGTGCCGGCCGCCGCTTCAAATTATCCACCCACACTTGCATTGCAAAGTACAGCGAAAATCCGTCGAGTTATGCGGCATTTTGGAGCTCCAATTCATGAAGTTTACTGTACAGCCGTTTATAACTTTCCTCGTATGATGGCATTTAAAAGGCTTGAAAAAGTTTTTATTTTTTATCTGGGGTACACAACTTCTATGGCAATGACTGTACTGTGCTAGCCAGGAACGAAGACACCTGCTTTAATGCACTCAAGTGTCCCAACATCCATCACCGAATTACCTAGTTTACTGGCCCATTATCTGACAACATCATCGAAGTTTCCTAAAACCCACTTTCAAATAAACTATTCAGGCCTCAAGTCCAAACACTGCCCCTGCATGCTGTAATTCACACATCTGTGCAGGCAACTATCAGACAGTCTCATAGCAGGCACTCACAGAAAAAGCCGCGTGCCATACGATAGATGGAATGGGTAAGCATACTGGAAGAAGACTGAAAGAACGCCTTTTCGTACTTTCCCACGAAACCATACAGTGAGTTGAGTGTTTCGCTGAAGATGTACAGTCAATAAAGCTTTGAAAAAAGATGCCCCGGTTTTTCCTGCCCAGACGAGACATCATCCACGAAAGGTTATCAGCAATGCATCCCAAACACTATAAATACATATTTGCAGAAGCCCAGCTATAGCTCAGTCATCGTTTCAATGAAACGCTCACAAAGCGATGAACCTCAAGGTTCCAGCATTGCAAAAACCTTTCTCTTTACAAGCCTTATTATAATGATGAACGAGCCGCGACTGGACATTAGTAAAACTGAACTCGATTCCAGCCAAGATTTAGGCAAATGAGCACTTGGCAATGCTCAAGAAAAAAAGTGGGGGCTCTAAACAATTTTTTTTTGCAAGAGAAAAGTGTGCATCTGCACAGTTTACAATAACTGTGACAATGAATGAACTTGGGTTAGCACTAGTGAGCCCACAAGGCCGCGGGACGTGGTCGTACCTAGCTTGTAATTTCGAAGCACCACCTCGGGCGAATGCAGCTGCTCTCGATTTAAGGAGTGTACGCTGGGGTTGACGATTCCGAGAGGGTCGAGAGATGCAGCCAGGTGTCCCCTCACCTGAGCACAACAGACACAATACAGTTGACACCACCTCACTCTGGCCAGTAGTGCAGGCGTCTGGTAGTCAAGCAAACTAGAGCCCAAGTACGAAGTTCTTTTCTTCCAAAAGAAGACTGCCAGGCTACAGAAAGCAAGCTCTTCCTCTCATGGCAAAAACTTGCCCTTCTGCACTTGGGATCAAACATTTAACTCCACAATGCTCTGTAGTACAATGTACAAACTAGATATATGCGAGCTGAAAAGATTTTATTCACCTTTGAACCAATATAACTTTTCCAGTCAAGTAAGCAGGCCAAATGTGTCACGCTGTCTTTGCAATTCATGGTATCATGAGCAGCTTTTCAGAGATCTAAAAATCTGCACAGTGCTGAAACAACTTGTCACCAGAATTAAACTTTGTGCCACAAGTATATAAAGAATATATTTTTGAGATGTTCAATAAAAGTAAGGACTGATTTAAAACACCCCTGACACCAAATTTGAGATGCTTGTGTTGGTCGAGAGTCCTGCATGCGAGGTGGGGCGGGGGGGGGGGGCACTTTTGACCGATTATTAGAGATGGGCGTTGCCCTACAAGATATTTTTTAAATTTAGTTTTAAAGTAAGGGTGCATACTCGTTCAAGTATTCAGGTGCAATTGAAATTTTCTGTGGTTTGACGCCCACACAAACCATGGTGGTCTAGTGACTAAGGCACTCAGCTGCCGACCCGCAGGTCGCAGGATCGAATCTTGGCCGTGGTGGCCCCATTTTCAATGGCTGTGGGAATGCTGTAGGCCTGTGTGATCTCTCATAATCATAAGGTAATTTTGGTATAATGAAGTCCAACAATTAAAAAAATTATATATGAAAAAATTATTACATAGACATGAGGCCCCTTCATGACGTTGCAGAAGTCAAGCAAGTATTGTAGGTGTCGGAGAACATTTGCGGAGCGCGCACAATACCCTGACTGGCACACAGCAAGGACTATTGTTTGTCACCCCTCTCGTTCCGTTGTCGGGCTGCTCTCAAGGTCTTTTCGACTGCTTACCCCAGGAATGCTTTTTTTTTCTGAGGTGGGCACGCTCAAAGTTTGCACATTATTTTAATCTTCACCACTCGCAAGTCCCCTTACTCGCGAACAGCACATTCAGTGTCACCGAAGCTTGGGCACATGTAGTCTCAGGTGCTGCCCCACTGTGCAGCAGTAGTTTCTTATGGTGTTTAGGTGGGCATTTCAAACTGACGCAAAATCGTTCGGAATTAACCATGCTAGCATAAATTACACGACATGTTGGAGCATTTACAATTGAATTTCGGCATTGCTATATGCAAAGCTACAAACCACCATAAAAAAGTCGCAAACAACACCTTTGCTCTCGGGAGTCCTTTAAGAGCATAAAAACACATAGAAAGACTAAAATTAGAACAATCCTGCGATCAAGCACTCTGCTGTGCTACTGCGGCAAGTAAGCCAACTGAAAACCAAGTTTGCTATTTGGCTGACTATCACTGAAAAGTGTATGATAATCAATAAAGGTTGCAATGCAACGATGTACTCGCAGAACAGGACAAGTGTGCCGAAGCCACTGCGTGCATTGTGGCCTCCTTCTCATTGATACGATGACCTGTGTCGCTGAGTTCTCAAAGCTGCTGTGAACGAGCCAAACTGGGCAGACACTGTCACAAGCCATATGTGAGAGATTACATCACACAAAAAAAGACAACGCTCACTTATTCAATAAGAAAATAAAGTTTGCATAAATAAAAAGATGCAACAGAAAATAAGAAAGATAGACATGCTGCATTGCCGAGAACGTGCAAAAATGAGACAAACGGGAACAGAAACAGTTAGACACCACCGGTCAGTAGCACCATAAGAGGTTGACGTTTTACGAACTGCAGTGTGCACACAGCTTGTTACCCAGTATGCCACATCTTGAGACTACCATCTTTTGCTACCATGTCAATGGCCGTACAGCAATCCATTAGGAATATATAGATATATTACTCATCCTTTCATGTACAAAATATCTCCAGCTGTTCACGCTCTTCACGAAGGTAGTGAAAGTACCTAGGGAGTACTTTGGGACTCATGCTGCTCTCAGCAACGCAGCCCATCATCAGTGATGTCGGCTTTGTAGCACCGGTAGAACAAAAAACAAACTGAAATGTTTACAGTAACATAAAAAACAGTCCATAAGACTAATAAAAAAGGTCATAGACAACAGTGCTGTTGTCTTTGTCCTTTTACTAGTCCTTGGTCTTTTTCACTGTTTTAAATTCTAGCACATCATTCACATTCACTTAAGCATCTATTTAAGATGAAATAAACACGAAAATTGGTGATGGTGATCTGTTATTATGATGCACTTTGTACCAAGCTTTACAAAGCATGTGAAAGACATGCTCTCTTTCAAATCCTTCGTCTAGCTTTTGGCACAACTGCACGATAATATAACCAAATGCCAAAGTGCATCGTAATAAAATACATTTTACAACTGCAATGCAGGCAAATTTACTCGTGTCTTATGTTTCAGGTACAAAATTATTATACATCATAAGCTCTTCATACTCGTTTTGTCAGCACACTGATTTGGGGTGATGGAAGCACAAGAATCGGAACAGTGCATCTTTCGTCAAAGGCTGCTTTGCGCTGGAGCGCCTCTACAGCTAGACTGCCTAGCAGGCAGAACTGGAGTTTCACACAAATGCACTTGGCACTGTATACCCAATAATGGAGCTAGAGAGACTGTAAAGAACAGCAGCCACCAACATTTCGTCAAGAGGAGAGGGAAAATGTGGTTACTTAAGCTTCCATCACAGCACTTTCAAGAACAGAATCTGTATATTGTCAGGATTCATTTAACTTAAAATCTATACGCGTGTGATTATTCCTTGTTCCCGACTGGCTTGTCTAGTGATGACGCACGCAGAGCCCTGCCCAGACAATTTATGCCTCACCATAGACTAGTATCGCTAAATCTAACAAAGGCAGCAAGCTAGCTGTGCCGAGTATTACGGATGATTATAAATTCACACTTTTTATAAAGGATCTCCAGCCTCTTTCAAATCTATTTTTGTCATCAGCTTTTATATCAGAATTCAAAACAAACATTTTAAGTATTTAACGACTAAATGACAAGTATAGGCAACAAGCATCAAGGGGCCCACACTTGTCAGAATTCAGACTTCTTGTGGTCATAGCTTGGGTGAGGTCAAGCACAAGCTATGCCACACAAGTTGCTGACCATTTCGGATGGAATTCGATGAACACTGCTACGTATACAATATGAGGTCCCATTAGCTTCCCAGCGATATGTCTTTTGGCAGCAATTACAGGCATGAGATCCTGTTATCATAGCTGTCATTAGATTGTAGCTTACGTAGAACCAATGTGAGTCAGGTGATTGAACTAAAGTGAATTGAACCAAAGAGAGGTAGCTTGAAAGCAACTAACACTGTTGCTGAAAAAATTTTTATAGCTTGGCAGAGGCTTTAAGATTTACAGAATAACAAACTTACTAAGAAAAGGCTAGTGCCATTGTCATAAGCCTGCGTTAAGCAGCAACTGTTACACCTATAAGATTTCTTCTCTCTCCAAGCAAAAAAAAAAAACGCACTACAGCAGCTTTCAAATGCTGTTTGGTAGCACCAAAATTCCCTTCATTCTCACCATCGAGTTCCCGTCTACGAAAGGAAGCGGCGTCACCTGATAGGACCGAATGATCGCTTGAACTGAAAGGTGATCATCGATGTCCCTCGGTGCCGCCTGTGTGCTCGGAAGTTTGGAAGGTGCAGGTGCCGTCGCTGCCGCTGGAGCTACTCGAGGCATGGCCACAGTTGACATGGCTGTAGACAGAGTAGGGGGAGAGCTGTAGGCCTCGCCGGGCCCTAGCCCGGACGAGACAGCCCGGAAAAAGACATCCCATGACTGCAGCAAAATTGCAAAACTCTTGTCAACCACACTTGGCCACACTAACATTAAACAATAATGACTAGCAATGAACAATCTTTATTTTGGCAAGTGAGCTAATCTCACTCTGTTCCTAAAAGAAAGGCAAAGCTTTCAAATCCCCCCCCCCCCCTGTGTGCATCATGCATAATTATGCATGATACATAATGATACACCATGCATAATGACAAAACTGTAATGATTTCAAAGTAAATCACTCGGGCAGCAAGAGCAGCTGCTCGAGCGAAATTTATCACTTGGAACAGATATAGAAGCAGCTAGCTCTACTCACGAAGATATTATTCTGTCTCCATGCACGATTCTCGCTCTTTTATGTCACATGTAATGCCACCATGTGTTGCACTTCCAAAGCAGACAGGCAACTGATATAGCTTAGCTTTCCAATAAAGGTCCAAAAGGACTCTAGAAAAACTTAATTTTTCTTCACTGCTAGCAATGTGTCATGGCCGACAAACCTTGTGGACAGCAGCAAGCAAATAAGACACAGAGACCTTAAAGGGACACTAAAATCAAATAAGAATTTACGTCAGAGTGAAAGCTCAATGTAAGACAACATTTAAAATGACAACATCTAAAACGACAATATTATCAACAACAGTGCCTTACTTACCGAGAAATTAAGGTAAATGCACAAGAACAAAAGCGCCGCAGTAAGAAATTTTCAAAATTATCCCGATGACATCAGACGGACCGCCTACAGTTAATCACAAGTAATAGATCTAACTGCACTAAATAAAGAACCTTCCGTGCATCAAGAGACGCAATAAAATGCTGCTTGTTCGTTTCTGTTTGATTCATGGAAAAAAGAACCGTTGCACGTTACTATGGGGAATGGCGCGAATGGTTAAAAATTAAATTTTCCCGTGGTTACACGTGCCAGGTGGTGTCATCTAGCAGGGCGCAGTTGAAACAACGAACGTCTCTAATCTCGAAGCCAATGGTGGGAAATTGATCAATTGCTGTAGTTGCTACTGTGACTACCGCTGCTTTCGCTCTGCTGCTACTAGCGCAGCAAAGCTGGGCAACGCTGTGCATGGCTACAGTGACGTGAGTCAGTCCGGTCCGTCCACTTCTTGAGGCGGGTAATTTGAAGTGCACTAACCCAATGCGTATCACTAAAACGTGGTTTTATTTCAGGATAGGCCCCTTCCTCGGCACAAAAGTAACACTACGAGGTTTTTGGACCCCTATTTCAACAATCAATGTCTAATTAATAGTCGCTTTAGTGTCCCTTTAAAGGGAGACCGACACAATATTTTGCGGTTGAGATGGCCTGGGGGATCGATTCCCATGAACAAGCGTATACTACCATCATATATAGCCAGGAAGGCATTTCAAGGGAATTTTGAAGTTTGAGTTTTTAAGGTACTATTGACACCATAGAAAGGGACCCCACGAGGGTCTCTCACGGAGTCCCTCATGCTTCCCTCACGTCACCACACTGTAGTCAATAAAACAAGTTATCATGACGTCATGGCCGCCATTTTTCTTTAGTCGCATTTGTTCCAGCAGTGTATACTTTTTGGCGGCTGGTCGCGAATGCGTGGCTGTGGCGCACAAATTAAAAGTCGTGTTTGGCAACACTGCAATCCCGTTTCCTATTCCAAAGGGCTTCTCGATGCAGACCCTGCGAAAGTAGTTGCTAGTTCTGTGTGCTGATGTGGATGGATGGATAGATGGTGTATTAGGCTGTGCCCTTTAGATCGGGCGGCTTCTCACGTCACCTAGCCATTGAGTTAAGTACTATCAATATGTATTGAAGGATTGAATTACACTTGTGCCTTCATTGTAACCACCAATCAGTTAGCCTCCTCCTCGTTATTTCTACTCTCTTAAAGTCTATTTTTCCTTTACTGTCCCAAAAGCCCAGTGCTTTGAGAAATTCCGCGCCATTATGTTGGACTATAGGGTGGAGCCCTTTACAGAACATTATCAAATGTTCAGCCATTTCCTCCTCTCCACACGGACTACATAATGTGTTCGTGCCTTCGTATTTGGCTCGGTACGTCTTGGTCCACAATACTCCTGTTCTGGCCTCGAACAGCAGAGAACTACCCCGAGAATTATCGTGAATCTTTTTTTTTTTTTTTGCAATTTCCTGCTTGAATGTTCGGTAGGGCTCAAGTGATGATTTAGTAGGCATTTTACTCTTCCACATGTTCCTCTCTGTTCCCTTCACCTTCTTAACCGATGTTACCTTTTGGCTTGTTATTCTGCTATTGTCTAAATACTTGCTTCACAATTTTTGAGTTCGCTTCCTTCATTTATTGCCAACAATCATCATGTACAAATAGCTGAAAACCTTCCTAGCTCAACGCTTCATTCCCATTTTTCTAAATCGCTCCTGAAATTCTAACTTGCTGCTAACTTCCCTGCACTCGTACGATGTCCATCCCATGTCACCCTGTACCACCTTACTACTAGGGGTGTTCCCGTGTGCTCATAAAGCAAGTCTACAAATGCCACATTGTTTGATTTCCAATCTTGCTTGCACCCTGATCTCATGCACAAGACCGCATTACCGAACGTCAAACCCGGGACCATGACACCTTTCCAAATCCCTCTCACAAAACCATACCTATTATATAGTTCCACAGTGCCCTATTTTTCATTACAGGTGCATTCCTGTTACCCTTAGTCATTACATATATTTCGTGCTCCCTTGGGTACTCAGCGCTGTTATTTATTTATACGCCCAAATATTTCTATATATCTACTATTTCTAACGTGACTTCCTGTATCTTATGCTTACTTGCCTTATTATTAAAAATCATGATTGTCGATTTTCCCTGCTAAACTTCAAATTTAACCTATCTCCCCCATTACCGCAGATGTCTATCAATCCCTGCAATCATCCTTGTTGTCGGCTATTAATACTATATCATCTGCATACATCAATGCTGGTAATGACTGTTCAATGTGTTTTTCTTGCTTGGCCGAAGAGAGGCTGAAGTCGAGTCGACTCCCCTCCAATTTGGCTTCTAGTCCCTGTAGATACAGCATAAATAACAAAGGTGACAAGGGACATCTCCGTCAAAGCCTGCATTGTAACTGATCTTCCCATTTTTTAACTACCTTGTTACTTTCATAGATATCCTTTAGAAGATTGGCTATTCCATCTTCCACATCTAGTATGTCCAGTATTCCCCACAAGTCTTCTTGAATCGCACTATCGTAGGCTCGCTTGATATCTAGAATTGCCAGCCACAGAAGCCTTGTGTTCTTTTTCTGCTATTTCAATACACTGCATCAATGAAAACAGATTGTCTTCCAACGTTCTTCGTTTACAGAACCCATTTTGTAGTTCTCCCAGCACCCCCTCATTCTCCACCCATGTCTGTAGTGTTTCCTTTACTATCGGCACCACCAGCCTGTAAACTATTGATGTCACCGTTACAGAACGGTACTTGTTTATATAAGCCTGTCCCTCTTTCCTTTATAGATCATGCTCATCCTGCGTAGTTTCTACCCATTGGGGGCTCCACCATCCATTACTGCTTTGCTCACTGCCTCTCTTAATGTTTCCTTAGAGTTTGGTCCTAGTTTCTTTATTAGCATAATTGGAATGCCCTCAGGGTCTAGAGCTGCGGTACTTCCACCTGGCAGCATGCACTTAGCAGCTTGTTGTTTTTGGAGCTATTTCAAACCAAAACTGAAACTAGTCGATAACGAAGAGCCTGTAATTATTGATCTATGTGGTGCAATAAAAAATGTACCGTATTATGACTACCAGGCCCCCAGCAACAAATTGCTGGAAAAAAAAAAAAAACGTGAGGGTAACGTTTTTGTGACAGTACCCCTTTAGAGACCAACTTAAATGAAATTTTTGGGCACATAAAAGAAAGGCAATTTCTAATTGAGTAAATATCCAGCAGTCTCAGTGGGAAATTTTTACAAGTGGGGGAATAATGAATTATTTTTCAATTTTTCACAGAAAGCAAACAAAGATAGGTGTCTGAAAAGCAATGCCATTATTGACTTGTCAAAAGTGATGATCTAGAATGCATGGCAGTTCAACATGACCATTGTGCATGGGTGCCTACGGCTCGATGAAAAATCTTGGAGGCTGTGGAAACTTGCCCCAAAGTAAAATTTCCATTATACTTCATATGCAAATTGGAAAACGGGGAGCACTATCTCAACAAAGTCTATGCAAAGAAAGAACAGTGCGAGCATAGAGCCAGCCATTTTACATAAAGAGTTCCTGCCTTTGACAAAACACACCTAATTAGTTTTTTGGCTGCAAGTCTCATGACAGCATGGAACTGTTGCACTGCCAAGAACGGATTCACGCAGCAAGAAGCCAAGGTAATTGCTCAAAGTGCGGAGAAGTCCTTGTGGACCTTACTGCAGGCTACAATTAAGCTGCAGGCTGAATGTAAGGACTTACATTTAGAGATATAAAAGCCAAGTCGAAAACCAAAATCCAAGAACCAACCATGACACTAGAAGGCATAACCTGCCTTCTTTAGGTTATCTTTAAGACCCGGCCTATGTCCCAAAAATGTGGTGGCATCGTCGTCAGGCTTTTTTAGTTTCCCATAGCGGGCATCCACCACCACGCCTACCACAGTTGTTGGTGTGCTAATGTGTGTACCACATGGGCTAAACATATTCATGGAGCCTACCTGTGTTTATGTGTATAGGCCCTTTCACACCTCACTAATTCTGAGCCAAAGTTTTATTATGAAGCTTTGCAACACCTCTACCATATTAATTTTATTTACACAATGTGGGTACCAGTATTCTGACTCAGCACTATATCCTGTTAAAGTGCGATGCAGTTTCCCCTGGCTATGTACTGACAAGTGCAAGAAATGAGGTTTCAGCTTGCACCGCTGAGACTCAAGACGCAGTCACGTAAATTAGCTTCTACGCTTCAACCCCAAAGCAGGCAGCACATGCACTTCTATGCAGGGTGCTAAAATGAACACAGAATATTGGCCGAAAGTGAACCC